GCAAAGAGCATTTTAAGACTAGCTACTTCATAATCTTATTTTTTTTTTGCTAAAATAGTACCTAATCTACGTGGCAAGCAAAAAAGAAAATAGGTAACACGTTCAACTGAATGGATTCGTTCATGACTCGAACACGTGGATGACCTATATACAAATTCTTATAAATGTTTTGTGGTGTACCTACTCGTCTGATTCACAGTACAGGTCGCCGCGACCGATGCGGCGCAGAGCTTCAAAGCTCGCACAAGCATTGGAGGTCGTGGCAATGACGGGCCAATGGCAGCAGGTAGTTATTAGTTACCAATTGTCATGCAGGTTCGTCTATAATATTGGTTCCATTAGAACAGCGCACGAGTGCTACCACAGTGACTTTTGCTGTCGTACTACTATAAATAAGATCTCTAATGCCTTCACTGAAGCTATCGCTGCTTCATTTATAAGACTGGGCCATGACCGTACGTTTTCGTAGCAGCAGCAGTATCTGTATCGTAGGGGCGCGGCGCAAAAGTACCACCATGATGATTATTGCTGCCTTCATTATTATAACAGTTTCTACTACAGTGCCAGTAACCCCTTCTGTGATAGGTATTATCGTGTGTCTTTCTGTATAGGCCGATATAATCGGCGCGTTTGTTCACGTAAATGTCGGTAAGTGTAAAAACGTCTGCCTTTTGTCAACGGTCCAAAGCATTTCAAATATTATCCATTGTGGTCCGTTCGCGTTTTTTGCCGTTGCCTCCACCAGCTTCTATGATGCTTTTGCTGTAATTGTTACTACTGTCAGATCAAATCGACCGTTGCGGCCCGACCAGACGAACTGATAGTTAATACCTAGCCAACTTGGCGGCCAACGCGCAGGGGCAACCGATAACGACGTTTTCTCTCGACCACAGCGCTCGACGACGACGCTGACTGAGGGCATCTGCAAAAATGTCTATGGCTGGCGGCCAACCAGGGTGTAGGGAAAAGTCGGTCGCAAAGATGCTGCGAGCGTACTCGCACATGCTACGAACTTGTGAGGATCACTAGACGCCGCTTCTTCCGTGCCATATGTATCTGGTAAACTCGAGGTTTTACATGTGGCGGGCTTAACGCTCTAGATAGCGCCGTTTTAAAGACAGCCAGGCCATTACAGGCTTAGACAAACACAGATTTGCGTGTCACGCGCGCGATTTCTGTATTACGAACTGGGATACGAAACGTGCGAATTTAGGTATCAAAGCAGATTTGTTTTGCAGATGACGAGAGGAAATATACTGCTCAAGAAAGTAACATCATTGCGGACAATGGCCAGTAAGATCACCCTAGGTACAGTACAGTGGTAAGGCGTTTGGATGAAGTAGGTACCCGCCGCCAAGGACACTATTGTCGTATACGAAAGGTCAAATATGAGACAAGTTTGGCTAACAATCTCAGTCAGCCATTGATTGCTCAGAGGCAAACATGACAGAGTGCCGGAGAACATAACTGAGATGCCACATACTGCCTTCGTCTCACAGCGGCAAAAAAATTTTAATTAGATTTTAGAAGGGATCAGTGTTTCAACATCAAATAGAAAGCGGAAGTATTCGATCTTAGGAATAAAAACACAGTCAACACAATGTAAGGTGTCGTTCGAAGGTCTATAAAAACCGATCAAATAGGATATTTATAATTTGAGCATATTGCATTATTTTTGCACTCAACGGGCTATTTGGTGTTTAGCATTTGACCATAATTTTTGAAATAAACATACGTGTTTGTAGAATCGAGAAGCGTGTGGTGGAAATCTGTTTTCGGATTACTCATCAAGTGAGAGATATGATTAGCACAATACTTCATTGTGCATCGGTTCCTGAAGGCCGCTCATCCTATACAGTGTGACTGACCAGTTTCGTCACTCAACATAGCTTATATATGAACAGTCATTATTCAAGCTCCGAAAAGTTTTCAGTCGGTCCTAGTTATACGTTCCATCTAATATACCTGGCCAGTGTTCGCAAGATCCGACAACTTACTGGAACTGCGAAAGTCATGCTTTGCGTAAGCAGAGTCTGTAGATCGCCATTTACGTTTTCTCTCAATCTTGCACGCGGATTGGCTAATGTTTTGCGACAAGTATGTTATCAGATAATCTCTTTATGTGTAATAGAATAGTGTTTATGTATAGCTTCTGAAGAAATGAGTCCGAATTTGAGACTCGTAGGCCCAAACTCCCGTTGGCTACGAATGACAAGGGACTTCCTTCATCTCAAGGGAGGGAGATCTAACTCAATGCAAAAGCTATCAAGCGAACGACGGCAGATCGAGTGAATAGGTGAGAGAAATGAAAACTCATAATTACGCTCTCTATGAAATGCGATCATTCATCATGGCCACTACGTTAGCTAAGTGTTCATTTTGCTTCAACAATGACCTACGTGATCCACGGTCGACGGCTTGAAGGCCGCGTAAAAATCACTTGTTCTCTCTCTTTCTCAATATATATATATATATATATATATATATATATATATATATATATATATATATATAGTTGTTATAATTAAAATACTATTGATATTATGGTTATTTTCTCATACGGTTTGTAGTTGAACCCTCACTGGTTATCAAGAGTCATTGAGTGCTTTAGGTGCTGATGCAGTACACTGAACGGATGTTTTGAATTAAAGACGTTACAATGAACTGCTGAATTTTCTGGAAAATATTACAATTGTAATAAATAAAACCAACTTGACATTATCAGTAAGTTACTTTTTATTCGAAATCAGATAATTACAATTCGAATCAATAATATATAATCAGTGGAAACGTAAATCATACTGAAAGCGTGCTTCGATAGCAAATAGCTGAGAGTAGGCTTTAGATAATATTCTAACCGTAATACAGCATGGTAACTAGTTATACAGTAGCCAAATACAGTATCCTTCACAATCTGAAGCCGGCTCAGATAGAATCTGCACAGTTATGTTCATTTAAAAAAAAGTTTTTTTTTTTTTAAAAAAGATATTAAAAAAACTGTGGCATTTTTATCTATCTGCATAAAAAGTACTCCACTTAGCTCAGCTCGTACGGCGTTGTATTGCATTATGTAACTGGCCGCTGGGCGCAGTCTTGAGATGGGAGTCTACATAGAAGAAAAATCTCAATGTTGTCCTTGAGAAAGCTTGCTTTTTCATTTCAACCAAAGAACTGTCAGCTACGGCCGGTGGCAACGGCAGCGTCACCATCGTCATCATCATCGCCGCCAACTTTGTTGCTTTTTCTGAGGCTGCTGTTTTTCGGTGTCATCATGATAGTCGCGGTTGTATTCGTCGCCGCCATCGTCAGCCCTCATTTTGTCCGTCCATTTCGAGCCGACCGCGAAAGCAGCCGCCGCCGAACACCGAACACAAAACTGAAACGCCAAATCAAGATAGACCTTTCTCTACTTCCTCGACGAAAAGAGAGAATAAACATTTCTGATTAGACTCCACTGCATTGCTGCAGATATACTATTACTAGTAGATCACCGGCGTCGCCATTGAACGTCGGGCTATTTCACCTTCATCACCACCAAAGCGAATCCGGCGCAACGTTACGGTTCTGCTTCTTGTATTAGTGTACGAGCTCTCGAGATGCTTTTGTTATCACTGGCATCACTTTTACTCAGCTAAGCAACACTATTAACAACTATAGCAGCCACGTCAGTGGATATTCGCTGGATAACGGAAAATGATCGACGGAGCTAAGACGCAGCGCGAGGGGAAGGTTCAGCTGGAGGGGAGCAACAAATGGTGCAACTCTGGTGCAGGACCCATTTTTCGGACGAGTTATGTGAGCACCAAGGCTAGCTGACGGACAGGGAAACAGCCCTGAATACCTGCGCGCGTGTTGCGTGTGCCTGCAGTTTACCCCCAGTCGATCAGAAATCATGGACGGAACGTGCCAGGGACGCCAGGATGCCAGTAGAAGGAAAGCACATTTAGCGCTAGTGGAGATAAAAGCGGTTGCTGCTGCTGCGGCAGTAGCAACGACGAGCAAATGGATGCACGATGCTTGTTCAAGATGTGGTTGACGAGATGAGGACGACGACGAGTACATTAGTACAAATTTTGTGTATTTGCCACTACAATATGTCATCAATGGCGCATCCAGGCCGAATATCTAACAGCATCCACGGCTTGTGCCCATCACTGCTGCCACCACCGCCACTGACCGGACGGGCCTCGCTGCGGAAGCCTATCGCTCCTCTTTACCCAACCGCCTCAGACCCAACGGTCACCGCGCGTGAATGGTACGTAAGAAGTGGCAAACAACACCAATGAAAGCTACAGTTGCTACGACAGTGTAAACAACAGCATTTAAATTTCACCAGCCCAGTCAGCGTCCGTCGGAGCTAGCAACGGAGCGGACTGTGGCGTCTGCTCGTAGCACTGTGAGTAGGGGCAGCGGCCAACAAAACGGCTGGCTAAACCAGCTGCATCTAGTGAATGGTAGGATGTGTGGTGATAATAAGCTTCTATGCTGCACTAGCGGCGCGATGGCTCGGCGAACAATTTAATAACAGCCATCAGAGACTAATGTCGTCCTTGTTGTTTGTTGCTATGGAGTAGCTGAGCTGTGCTTTTGTAACTGAAAGCGACCGATTAACTAAGAGCAGCAGCGGCATCGACAGTAATACGACGACAATAATCGTAATATCATCACCATATAATGGAACAAACAGTCAGCAGACGGTAATAGCAGGTGAGCTGCTACAACCGGGTCAATGATCTAATCCGCAATTAAACGATGATCAAATTGCGGCCGACAAATAAACAATTATAGAATAACAACCGGGCAATGAGACAGCTAACGCGCGAAAAGGGCTTTGCCAGAGAGAAATAGAAATGGATCAAAACAATTATCTAAACAGCTAGGAGTGCAGGTGAGACGGTAAAGAAACATATAGAATTTTGAAGAAAGTCGTACAGATGGCAGCAGTGGCGCATAGATGCTACGACAGTAGCGCCAGCAAAGTGGATGCTCTTGCGGTTTGCTTCTCGTTCAGTCTGGCCTTTGTTTGTTCTAGCTTTGCGTATAGACCGATCCGTAAGAGTCCGCGTCCGGAAAATAGTTTTCATCGGTAGTTAGCCCCTGCTGCCCCGTTCTAGGGGTACGTATGTTACGAGGCACATAGCTACAAGGTAATACTGATGGCTGCAGGCAATAGAAATTCAGTAGACTAACCGTTTGGCTCGATGTCTTTATTAGAATATGATTATGTATATAGAATATAGTTAGGTTACAAACCCTGAAAGCGGTTTAAATGGAGGACATCGTAGAAAAAGGGTTGGTGGAGAAGCTTGCGAAAACCGTATCCTATAGATATTTACCTGTACGAATAGGAAAACCCTAGCATCATCAAGCCAAACCCCGTTCTTGTAACATACACGTAAGATCATAGCGGATATAAGTGCGTCTATATGTCAAACATAAGCATGTTCGCAGAACTTGAGACTGGCATCTCGAACGGTTTTTGAAGCTTTGTTGAAACTCAGCGCCATTTTTAAAATGTGCCGCATGCCTCTATGCATCGCTATTCTATAGATTCGTATCGAAATAATTTTATTAAAAAAGAAAGAAAAAGTTAACTATATTGCATCTGTCTCTTGTTAGTTTCCATATAAATCTTGCAGCAATCTAATTACACATGCTATCCTGCACATCTACAATATTTTGGCGTCATTCTGATGAGAATTTTCTAGGTAGGCTTTGATGCGGCTGTTCTCTTCTTCTTTTGTCTGTTTTATGTCTGCTTTTATGAAGTCTTTTCATATGCATACCAAACCGTAGGCACCATCGACGTATATGCCCACACAGTACGGACGTCTACGTACAGCCCGCCAGTCACACAAATCATGCCAATTCCATGGCGGCGCTTCGAGCTCTACTATTTATAGTTTTGAAAAGATTTCGGGCAAATAGAACTCAACGGGTCTCCGCGAGTACAGGCGCAACATTATAATCTGTCTTCAACAATGATACCCGCTATATATACAGGTTTTGAAGTAAGTTAATTAGCATGTGTACGGCAAGTCTAAGTAAACGACGAAGCGTTGTTTTGATCTGAAGCTTAATGAAGCGCCGGCTGCGCACACATCGTATTATGGATACTGATCTCAGCTTCACGGAAGAGAATGTAAATAAACTTTAAACAATGGACTATATAGAGTAATGTATATATATTTACTTGTTTATCTATAGTGTGCACTAAGCCAATCGTTTCCATGCGAAAAAAAAACCGATACATTGTATCATATTTATCTATCACCTTGAGTGACTTTTATTGTTTTTATTTAAAATTTATTCGAAATGGATGTTATCTCGGCTTACACGTATAAATAAAAAACTGGCGGATATTAATAAGCTAACTTATCTTTCGCTATATTGCACTAAGTCCGTGCGAATCGATGCTGTTTATATGCACGTTTTCTCTACCAAAAGGAGGCGCGAGTCAGGACAAAGGATCAAGCGGAGATTCCAGGAGGACGCCGATCCATTAAAGTTCAGAGAGCGATCCGTTTTCGAGAGTACGTCTATATGCATTTTGTTTTTTGATCTAACATTTCTTTTTTTTTTTTTCAGAACGACATACCCATTCACAACAGTGCACTCGCAAACATGCTCAGTTGCTAAAGGCTACTTGATCCTTTTTGTTAATTCGCACGATATTTGTAGTATAAATGTCAAATACGCCATGGTAATCACAAGTACACAGATCAATATCAGTTTAATAATACAGATAGGAGATTTTGTGCAGTCTAGTGCACATACTCATTTCTTACTGGCCGGTACTTGACAAATTTGAATTTTTACTAGCTCGCGCTGATAAGCCCCACGCAATAGAATGAGTATATTACCTTTACAGTAAGTAAGCCCGCGCACTCCAAATGGACAAATTGGCCTCATGATGGGCAACTGCCGTCGTGGAATTTCGTAACTGTTCTATGGATAGCTACATCGTCGTCTACATTAATTGATATATACAAAATTACCTACAATATTGCGTTCAAGTTTGATGGGGCTGTGCCGGAAAGATCCACTCGGGTCATTACAGGCCACGGCCGGTTTAGCTTTGTCCTGGCAAGATCGTTCGGTTTGCGTCCTCAGTTAGCACCGCAGGTACATGCCAACGTTAAGCCTAAGTCCTCTGGCTTGACACCACGTTCGATCAAACTACTACATTGAAGAATATTTTACTAAATGTGATCGTTGGTACAGCTGTCCCACATTGCATTTTAAAGCACCAGCTAATTGGGCATTTTGTTTTTTTTTTGAGAATGAATTTAAAAGGTTGAAGATTTCATGAAACTCCTCTTGGCTCCGAAAACTTTTCTCGGTTGACACGCTGGAAAACAATATCCCTCTGTCGATCTATAGATATTTTTGTGATATTCTAAGCCGATCATACGAATAAATTTATCATGGATAATTTGTCATATTGACAACTATCGGTTTGTTTTTTTCATTAGAATAGAATATTTCAACGGATGACCGCCTCCTACTCGGTGTGGCTTTCGAATAAGTATCTTATTATTTGTTACACAATAGCCGCTTAGGTACCACGCGTAAGATTTCTGCTGAATGACTCAACTTATGTAACACTATCGAACCTTTTCTGGGACGTAAGCTAATAGTCCATGACACCAGCGTTTACTGGGTTTCGAGTCGTACAATCGATATGAAGTGAACTCTGCTGTATCGTCCTAAAAACATAAATTTGTATAAGAGGTAAATATCCCCGTTCGTTTCCTAATCCCGAATGTACTTTGTACCGCCGGCCATATCTGCGGAACAATGGGTCCATATTGAATTTTAGCGCGTTTATTTGGCGTTGACTGAAATCCGACTCGATTTTACTATGTTTACCCGATGTCAGCCGCCCGACTCGGGGCGCAAGTGTCGCAAAAGACCACGCAAGTTTTAACAATAGGGCCCATTCCTTGATTCGAACCCAGATGCTAAGAATATTCTGAAATAGCTCGAACGAAATACTGCTAGCGAGATAATAAGCTACCAGATTCGCAGTCGTGTAGACAGGAGGCAGCCTCCGAAATTCAGCACACAATCTCTACTGTGTCGTTCGAATTGTTAATCCTGTTCGGCTGTGATTTAATTCACTGGTAGCAGCATTTGAGGAACGAGGAAAAATGGCTCCGCCGTCATACCAGAGTCCTCGAATTAAGTGAAGATTTGGGTTGATAAATGTACCGTAAGAGCAGGTACATTTACTCAGATACGACAGATAGTTCTCAAGAGGTAACGTCGAGCAGATGATTATTAAATGCTTGTTATGAACCTAATAGGAAGAAGGTTCCATCCCTGGCCAATGCCAATTGCCGAAAACTAAGTACACTCGTGACAAAGATAAATCATCAAAGCTATCCGTGTTTTTTTCAACCGATGTGACCTTTCAGGTCCACTATATGTCTCTTGGTGGTCGCGAGAGATTGCGCCGTATTGCTCTCAAATAGCCTGTCACCCGTAAACAAGATTTTTTCAAACGGGTTGACTAACTGAAGATGAATAGCCTTTTATATCCCCCATGGCTGTACAAAGTTGTCTACTGTTGCTGATTAACACGAAGAATGACCCCCGACTGAACGATGACAGAATCACTACGCAAATCAGATGACAATTGGATCTCTGCGGAGCACTTATGCTTAAAGTAAACACGAAGATGAAATATCCTAATACATATGTCCTGTTTGTACAGCTGTTTGTATCGACAAAAATTACTTTCAAATAGAGCGGTTCAATTATAGAAAATAATTAACATAATTTTCTAATATTTTTTAATTCCGACTAGCGTAGGGAAAAATCATCCTTATTCAACCATATTAGAGCTTTGTACTGCCGGCATACAACAATAATTTCTAGACTCGTTCTACTGAGATTTTTTGGGGCGTTCCCACCGAACTGGGTGCCTGCGTCGTTTACTTCTGCTGTTGTCTGCTTGTTGTGGTCACATAGGTTGCTAGTAATCCTTTAACTGGCTTTTTTTTTTAACTTCAACTTATTTGGGGTTTAATTAGCTAGTTGGCCGTACGAATACTGATTCGTGAGACAATTTCTCATGTGACCCCGTATTTTCGAAGGAGCAACAGATCCATGTAGGTATATCTTCTACACGTTTTTCAGCTGGCCTAATCACGATTACGGCAATGATTATTTCACTTTCATTCAATTTTAGGAAGTCACAGAACGAATATGACCTACTACAACTTACGACAATTATTTCCTTGTGAAATATGTTGACGTTATGCGTTCATGTGTTTGTATGTATCCTAGTCAAAGTAAATAATATAATTTCTATGCGGTTGTTAAGACAACAGATAAAATATGTATGTTACGTATTCTACATCTATATCAGAACCGACTTGACCGTATGGAGACAGTTAATTGGATAACCTCCAAAGGGCTTATGGATTATCCCTGAAAAGCCCAAGAGTCTACGTTATCTATGTTACGTCGTATCTGGGACCGTATAATTCTGTCTGTTGGCTTTTTTCTTGTATTTTCTGTTTTGTCTATCGAATTATTCTCTTCAGTTTATTTTCCTGACCTTCAACAGCAAATCACTCAGACTAGCGTATGTACATGCATAGTTCAGTGTGTGCGCATAGATGGGCTAGACATTTCATATGGGACACGCGGCAGGCGTTACCACTAGCGGACCGCCTGTAAGAAGCACCCAACGACGATAAATTCCCTCGTTTGCGAAAAAAAAAGCCAGAGCGAAATATTCTCAAGTAATTGCCAACTTAGCTACTAGAGCTGCTAATATTGTTTCCTTGAGCTATCAATTCTGTGCTTCTCAATATATACATATACTCATAGCCATACAAATAGCCGGAGAATAGAATATTGACGGGTACGGAATATCAGTCCGAGGTTAAGTTCAGGCCAGTTAATGACCAAAGCATTTTTGCGAAGTTTGCTACAACCAAACCCAAAATCCTTCTGGAAGGCAAATCTAGCAGCTCGACCAAGAAGGAAACACGGAGTAAAACTTGACAAGTTAGAGAGATAGTTTCTCAGCCTTTTTGTGAACAGTACCTGGGGCCGTCGCGAGGCAACAGCGGGGAAGCTCTCTAACGCATGACTACAGCCAAGCACTCTTTGGAGCGAACGATCGAGAACACGAGGCGCGTCGCTGCTTGCCATAGGCGAGTGTTTGCCGGTTAGACCAGTTCACCAACAGGACTAATAGCAGAAGTAACAATAGCTGATGGTTCGTGGTGGCCGACGCCTTTAAAGTAAAGTTTTTAAAGTAAACTCTGACAAAAAGCGTCTGGCAGCAGCGGAAAGCAGCAGCGGAACCGCTCTATTTTCGTACTGCAAAATATAGCACGCCCAGGCGGTGCTAAGCGAATTAATGTCGAGAATAAATAGAATACCATTGTCGGCCGCAACCTAAGCCGATGGCGTTTTATGATGAAAGTTTTCTCTCATCAAACATAGCTATAATACCGCATAAAACTGCAAGCCAGCATCTTAGTCATGAGGCCGGTCATGAGTAAGCATAGGTCGCACATAAAAAGGCCGCAGTACTACAAAGGGCACGTGATTGCTTCAGCCCGATACTGCGACATGCGTTGCTCTTTATCTACGTTAGGATAGTCTGGAGAAGCTACTTGCGGGAAAAATAGATGAACAAATTGAAAATTGTACAGAGAATTTTTTTGTAAGTACTTCTTGATTTAACACTTTAGGACATAGAAGGACTGAAACTGTGAAGGAAGCATCTATCGATCAATATCGGCCCTCCGTGTTTAGACTTTCCATGCAAATCCTACAGATCGAATACTCTACATAAGCAATCTTAGCTAGCCTTAAATTTTCTGAAGATGGCATAGGAAGTTTTTAGGTTCATATGAAATATGTTCGATGAGTTCACAGAGTATATATGTACGTATTTAGGCTTGTCGAAAAGCTGTTGACCATTTTCAAGCGGAAATTAAAGCAAGCGTTTCTTATTTTTATAGTCATATTACTAAATTAAGTATACATCACCTTGACACGTTTGCTTATGTTTCATAATCCCATCACTATAGAAGCTTTGTGACTTGACTTACAACAAGTGATTCCTATGCCCGACTACCTAACTAAAGGGGTCCTGCAGAGACAAAAACGCATTACAATGCAAGGTTCAGTTTGTACGATGGATATATTAATGTTTTTCATGAAAAGTTATTTTGATTTTTGCCAGTTAGTTTAAGACGTATAGGACAGTCTGGCATTGCTAGACGACGCCTTTTGTTTTCATTAGTTCTAATCGATTCTTTCTAATGGTTTCTTGTAATCCTGTTAATTGTTGATGGTAGTGCTTCGAATGAACACTTTTGTAGGCGGTAGCAACACGTAATGCAGGATTGCTTTTCAATCCCGTTAACCATTTAGCAAGAGCTTTTCAATCAAGCATCAGTCCGGCCGTAATCACAGATTGTAGAGCACATTACTGTTGTATGTAATCCACTTTTGACCGTTTTTGATCAAGCGTTTTAGAAACGGTTTGATTTCGATGAGTTTCTATAAAATTTCCTGGATCCCAATACCGTCGAGTATTCTCTCGTATTAACTTGTGCGGTGCCTAACATCGAACCTTTTTTGTAGCCAGCCTTCGTCCTTAGTTTCATGGCGACGTCTGGGCCATTCGCACGTCAGTCTCGCTCTACTTTCGTAATAATGTTATTAGCTTTTTCCGTAATTGGCCAGCCACAACGAACATCCTTCACATAGAGATTTCCAAAGCGACAACGATAGAATTACCCTTAGGCCGATGTTTCTGATGATGCATTTTGACCATGAATAGCACAGTTTTTGTTATAAGCCTAGGTAGCATTTGTGCCTTCCCCGTAATAAAATGAAATAAATTCAGGGAATTCTTGCAAAAGAATAGCACTTACCTTCAAAGCGCTCCATCCTAAGTGTGAATAAAGGCGTTCCAACGATTTTAGCGTATCTACTACTGCTAAAATTTCTAACGCCGACACGATGCGGTCGGCTCACATTGCTTGAGATATGGCACACTAAAGCCATCTATCTAGAAAACCAGTCGATACTTTTTTGGCCACCCAATATACATATATATGTATATATATACACTTATTTGGCGTTGAAAAGCGCGTTCGATGTCCATGAACTTTTGCTCACCCATTTGATTTTCTCGAAGGTAAATGTTTCGATATGTATTGAGGGTCTTCTTAACGGGATCTACGTGTACAGAGTAATCGTGTCGGAAAGGTTAACACATGATCGGCAACATCGCATTTCCATGACGACATAACCAACGAAAATATAGGAGCCGTGAACCTTCACGAATCAGCTCGTGACGGCTCTCAATTATAGTAGATTGGCTCGTCATTA